CTAGGAGAAATGGGAGTAAAAGATTTTTTAACAGGCATCGACCGATTCGCAGCAGTGGCAACCTTCCCGAAAAATGCTGCTGCATCATATACGTTATTTCCAGTAAGTAACTCAGTAACATCTTTATCCAAGAGTATTCGAAACAATTCCCAATCCGCAAATGTGTCATTCCATTTAGTAGAGGGATTTATTAAAAAAGATGAAGGATTAATTTGGATGTCAATAACTATTGGGTAGTGGTCTGATCCCATTGTATCATCTAAGACGGTCCAAGTTAATTTATCAACTAAAAAATGGGAACTTAATGTTATGTCCACCGCTGAATGATTTCCACTAGAATTAATTCTAGTGGGAGTACCATCATTTATTACAACAAGGTCTAGATCATCTATTGCGTCTGCTAAAATTTTTCCATGTCGATCATCAGGTATAGGTCCCCAACTATCATGGTGGGCGTTAAAGTCTCCGCAAAAAAGAGTATTGGACTTGAACTGCTGAAATAATTCTATCCAATCGGTGAATTTGACAACCACGTCGGGTGGTCGGTAAATAGATACTATTGACAAGTTTATACCAGATAAAGTAATTGCGCAAACTTCTAGCTCTTTGTTTGACGATTGCATGATATTAACCTCTTTAAACACTAACCATTCAGCTATAAAAATGCCTACCCCCCCAAAACCATCAACTCTACATTTTTTAACTAAATTGAACCCTCTCAAAAAAAAGTTTTCGTCAGGTTTAAGCCATAATTCTGATAAAACAATAATGTCAATTTGTGAACTGTGAATAAAATTAATTAAACTTGCTTTATTTGCTTTTAATGATCTAATGTTCCACTGCAAAATACATAGTTTTTCTTTTGTAATTTTGTGGTTAGGAATCGGGAAGATTAATAATATTCGGATTCAGACCCACTAATGTTAAAGTCCATTCCATCATTGGGATTATCAGAATCAAACATATTATTAACAAATTCTCTTATATCTGAATCTGCAAAAGTAACCGAACTAGACGGAAAATGTTTTTGAAGTTGTTTAACGAATGTAGATAATATAAGAATTGACTTTTCTTTATAGTTCATATATTCGTCTCTATAAGGATTAGGAAGAACAGTATTAGAATTCAATGTTAATTTAGTAGGAGTTTTTTTTATTGGTGAAATTTCTGTGGTGGGAGATAGAGGGGAAGGTTTTCGTTTTTTTGAAGTAGGCATAATTGTTTTGATAGAGGGTTTCCTTGAGACTGCTGAGGAAGGTTGAGAAGATTTTTGCTTAATATCTGGTAATGGTGGAAAGTTATTAATATTATTTAATATTGAGAACTTGTTATTCGTAATAATTTTTGAATAAGAAGGATTTATGTACATATTTTCAGCTTCTTTAAAGGAAATATTTTCCTGGGCCATAATCTGCTTTATTTGTTTTTGTTTTGTGAAGATAGGGCATTTTCGCGAGATTGAAGTGTGTTCATTACTTTTACAGTATATGCAAACATTTTCTAATTGACATTCATCTTCCAGATGATCCAAACTAGTGCATTTTTTACATCTGCTATTTTTAGATTTGCATTGTCTGGCCGAATGACCATAACGCAAACACTTAAAGCATTGTACAACTGGTTGTATATATGGCTCTACTTGGAAATTGCAGAGATTAATTTGAATGTTTTGTGGAATTTCATTCCCCAGAAATTGTACTATAATCATCTGCCTGTTAACTAAACAGGGATTTCCATCGGAATCTATTATTTTTCTTTTCATTCTTTGAACACTTACTACTTTTTTATTGGAAATAATGGCATTTAGTAAGTATTCTTCGGAAAAAAAAGTATCGACCATTCTTATGATACCCTTTTTGTGGGTGTAGAATTTAGGGATATATGCGATTAGATTATTTTGTTTGATTACATAATGATTAACTAGAGAATTAGCCGATTCCAAAGTTTTAAATATAACTTTCACCCGGTTAATTCCTACTGATTTTATATCCTCTACTTCTTTACTTAATGTTTCATCAGGGAGTAGGTAGTGCCCAATTTTAATTGGGAAAAGTTTACCAATATTTTTTTCTTTATGCTCCACAAACACGAAATAAGGACCTTTATCGCCTGGTCTATAGCGATTTTCTAGATCAATAATATTATTAAAATCATCTTTCTTTCCCTTTTCACTATTATTCATACATTGATTTAAATCGGGCGGTTCCCCGCCCGTATTTTCCCCCATGGTTTAATTAATTTTAGATGTTTTTATCTACAGCTTCTATATATAAAATATTTCAAATTTTATCAATTAATCAAAATAAAATAATTAGTCAAACCAAAACAAAACTTTGAAAAATTAACGAGGTTCAAATATCAATTAAAATATAATTATAACAGGTAATATACTTATCTTAACAAAAAGTAAAAATACCAGCACTCGAATACGTCCGCTCACTAGGCTTATCAAATTCGAACTGTTAATCATGGATAAAATTATCAAAAGCATTAACAAAGGAAGAGGATTCAGAATAAAGAACAACGAAGTAAAAATACTCTGTACACATACGACGTAATATCGGTAGCCCAAGATGAACATAGTCTGCAAAGACTGGTCCATAGATTTTACATAAGAGAAAAATAATTTCATATGACAATCTCATCTCAGAAAACTAAAACAATAGTAATTAACAAAGAACCAATCATATGTAAAATAGAAATTGATGGCACCAGTATTGAACAAGTAATGAAAATAAAATACCTTGTAATTACACTGTCCAGCTATGGAGTCCTGGACAAAGAAGTAAGAGATCAAATACAAAAAACAAATAGACTGGCAGGATCCCTTAATAACACTACATGGCGAGCCAGACACATTACCAGTGAGATGAAGTCAAGAATTTATAAAGCCAGTGTAAGACCAATAATGACTTATGCCTCAGAAATAAGACACGACACAGCTACAATAGAGAGGCAACTGGAAACGACAGAGATGAGAGTGCTGAGAAGAATTACAGGAAATACGCTGAGAGATTTAAAAGAAGTGAAGACGTTAGAAGAAAATGTAAAGTACGGTGTATAAATAAATGGACTGGCAGAATGGGAGAGACCCGTGTCGTCAAAATAGCAAAAAATAAGTCACCAATGGGCAGAAGAAGTATCGGACGACCACGAAAAAGATGAAGTGACAACCTTCCATATAGGTATTAAACTGTCAATGAACAAGCAGAATTGAAGTATGGTTTAATACTTTTAAACCGAACCACTGTTTGATTTTGAGGTTATTTAGCAAGTACGACAAAGTTCACTGAAGAGACTGATTAATCCGAAAACGTTTTGAACTTGATATTTTTGAATTTTAAAATTTAAGTTTAGTTAAATATTCCAATTACAACAGAAGTGTTTTACTTCGATGTTCGAGTTTTTTAATTATATGGTATACAGCCATCTCCTTTTTAAGTTTAAAAATATTAAATTAAAATTTAGCAAAGACAAAAATGAAAATAAACAAAACAATGGTAATAGTTAGGATAAAACAAATGCATGACGTAAGATTGAATGGGATGCAGCTCGAACAAGTATATCACTTTTTATATCTAGGAACAACCATAGACGTAAATGAAAAACAGAACCAGAAAATAGACAAAATCCACAAGGAAAAAATTCCTGTAGCTGGCTGTATACCACGTATCACAAAAAGAGGTTAGTCTTTGTAAATGGGTATATTTATTTAAAAAACCCTTAAAAGGGCTACATCAATAAAACAAACGTTTTCGGACCACACAGTCCATCATCAGGTTTTAAAATCGAAAAATGCCTAAAAATAAGTATAAACCATTTAGTTAAAACAAACGAGATTATGAAATGTTGACTATGGTTGAAAAGCAAAAGATGGTTATACTTACTAGGTCACAATGCCTGAGCCACCAAAATACTAGGGTAAAAACCCTTTAAATTACATTTAGTTATAAAAGATTGTACATTGTGTTGTAAAATAACTGTGATGTTCAGTATTAAATTAAATTTGACTAGAGGTAACACATGGCTGAATCGAGTTCCAGAGCCGGTGAGAGAGAACCTCTACACGCGGAGAACAGCTGGGAACTGATTGACAAGATACTTGTGAAGGATGACGAAAACAGAATGTCAATGCAACAAAAACTATATTAGTTGTACATAGTATTACTACAGCCAAAAGATTCAACAAGTTTTAATGATTTTAAAAAAATAACAACAATCTAGGTGTTGGGATTTAAAAAAAAACTGTTTTATTTATTAATTTAGGGTATAAAAGATGTGAACCATCATTGATTTCAACCACGATTGATGAAAACCGGAAACATATTTAATACAATTTAAACAACATTTCTCGGAAAAAGGGAAAAGTTAAAGCAGTAGTAAGGCCTACAATTTTATATAGTAGCGAGACCTGAACCCTAGCAGAGACACAAAAATTAAGAATCAATCTCATGGAGCTGATGTTGATGAGATAAAGTATTTAAACCTGAGTGCAAAAAAAGCAAAACAGGAAAAACAAGAGCTAGATGAATAGAGGGTGTCAGGAATAAAGTTGTAAAGAAGGGTTTAGTAGAAGTAGTTTAGTAGTTTTAGGAGAACCACTACAAAATGAAACACAAGACAGGAAAACCTGAAGACAAATATGCAGAGCTCAATCCAAACCACCTTACACCTCAAAGTAAAAAGGCTTAAGACTAAGTAAGTTACAATAATTATTATTGATTGTGAGCACATGAGCTTGGTTGTATAGTAACTTTCAGCCACTTCCAATCGAAGTCAAAATTAAAACTAAACCCAAATAATTAAACATATCTAAAAACTAATTAATAAATTTCTGTTCATTTGACGTATATTTACGCGTATCACAGAGACAGCGGATACCAGAAGAGTGAAAAATCATTTCTAGGTGTCGCTGGATGAACATTTTAAAAGATAATAATATGAAAAACAGAATGTAAAGTGATATTTTACAATAATATTTATAATCAAGGCGTACTTACTTGAAAAATGTAGGCATATTTAAATATTCCATTTTGTTCAGAGATCATTAAAACACAAACCCGCAATCAGAGGTATTCTAATACATCACGATTATTTTTATTATCTTTGTTATCAGATAAGGCATTTTAACGACGTAAAAATGTAAAGATGTACTAAATAACGTATCTATTTAGACTTTTTTATATTTATTATTAGTTATTATTTTATTTTCGGAAACTTTTTCTTAAGTGGCATCTCCATCACTGGAGGTTGGCAACAATTTCAGTGAACCGTATGCGATTCGTTGACAGGACTGTATGTGAATTAATTCCGGTCCAATGACGGATATTTTTCAACCAGGAATACTGCCTACGGCCAGGTCCTCCGTGATCCTCTTTTTTGCTTCTGTGATTAGTTTTGGGAATATCTCTGTCATTATACCGACTTTTGTGGTCTAAGCCTCTACTGCATATTACGTAGAGGTTTAGTATATATACTGTTACGATAAATTCTGATTCAAAAACGTTAACATATTTGTTAATAATATTCTTATTTATTATTTATTTATTATAAACATGAACATGTTTACCTTCCATACTCGTCGAGAAGGTCATCGATCCTTCGATATATATGTGACATTTTATGTAAATAGTTGGTTAGTCGAAAATAAATTGTTGTAACGAATAAGTGATTTAATAAATTAATATAAATTATTGTTTTTTAGTGAATTAGAATAAGGGAAATAAAGACAATAAATTAGACTTATAAAAACAGTTCAATACGTAGCATGTGATAAATTGGAGCCTGGTAATTATTTGCAGCTGGCAGCTGCCTAAGTATTTGAATTTTGTCACTTATTCCTTCAGCTTCTTATAGATAGTGATGTTTGTCTGCAACTTGGAATTTCAGTTCATAATCTTGATCTTAGTTTTCAAGTGCCATAATGTTCAGGTCAATCTTTCGGAAACTAAGTTTTTTAATTGCGAATTTTGTTTAGGTAATTTTGCTTCGTATGTCATAAATAATATTCTTCATGACTTTCTAATTAGCCAGACGCGCTATTTTGTAAATAACTTATTTTTATTTTATAATTCGAAGGATGCAAACAGTAAATTGGAAGTTTTAGAACAAACGCTAATAAACATATATGACAACTTTAATAAATACAAATTTTCAAATTAATCTAACTGGTCCATGGAATCATTTTGAAGTGAGATAATGTCTTGTTATATATGCTATTTTGCGACTTAAAAAGTTACAACTTTGAATAGACTTGGAGCGTTTGCTCAGAAGGGTATTCAAGATACAAAAACAATACACAAAACAGGAAATAAGGAATTTGAGGTAGCGTTTATAGCCGATAATATACTGTAATCACAATAAACTCATCACAGATTTCCAAGCAGTTAATGAACGTTGTGGCATACCAATAAAGACTTTCTTCTTCAACTTATCCATAATTAACGTTCATTGCTCAACGAATGTACAAGATGAGGACACCAAATTATCTTTTTACCAATTACAAGAGCATTTGACCTAAAATAAAAAACGACATCAAAATAGTCATAGGTGACACAGACACAAAGGTAGGAATTAAAAAAGAATACAGCGTAATAACTGAGAGACATAGCCTAAATAGAGACACAAATGAAAACGGCCAATATCATATTGACTTTGCAGCTACTAAAAACGTCTTGATAGAAAAGCGATCAACAGCAAACATTTTGGATATAAAAAGTAGACGAGCTGCATGCTGCGGCTCAGACTACCTATTAATTCAGATTCACTTCAGATGTAGGGTCATCCTACAGGCAAAGGAGAATCAACCATGAAAAGAAATTCTAGATCTGGAAAAACTGAAAACCCCAAAATTTAAAATAATAAAAAATAAAGGTAATGCTAACTAAATAAGTAAATGAAGAGAGATCACTATGAGACCAGTGAAACCTAATAAGCAGAACCCCATTAACTGCAGCAAAATCGATGTTAGAAACTAAAGAAAGGAAAGGTTTGAAATGAAATGAAATTGGTTTGATGATGAGTATGAAGCGGTAGATGAAGAACCAAATGAGGTACATATATTTGACGAGGTAGAGGACAAAAAAAAAGGTATAAAAAAACAACAGACGAATAGCTGATAGAATGTAGACAAAAAAGAGAAAGCACAAAATAAAACAATTAATGGGCATGGAAATAAACTTTAAAGAAGGCAAGACACGAAATGCATAATTTGTCAAACAAATTCAACAATAATATAAACCAAAAACTAATCTGTGCAGGAATATAAATGGCGAAATAACCAGTAACTTTAAAAAAATTTAAAAAATTTGAAAATCATATTTTGAAAAACTGCTGACCGAAAACTCTGACAATGATGATGCAAAATACATAGAGCATGAACTATTAAAAGAAGCAGAAAATGAAGAGAATGAGATAACAAAACCGCTAACGATAGAAGAGGTTGAAAGGGCAATCAAACTGCAGAAAAATAGCAGGGCCTGTGGAGCTGATGGAATGAAAGTAAAAGGATATATGAGGTCATACATAGAATATCAAGATAGGAGAAAATGCCAAAAGAATTAAATAAGAGTATTAGCTACCAAATCCACAAAAAGGGCGATAAACTTCTCTGTCAAAACTATAGGAGAATATTCTTGATGTGTTGTAGATATACAATATTTAGCGGTATACTAAACCATAGACTACAATTCCTCGTGCCTCGTAGAGAATATCAGTCTTCATTTAGGCAAGGAGGACCAGCTATTGGCCAAATATTCATACTATTCACAGTTAAGCAGTCAAGCAAAGGCTCGGAACACGGCATAGACGTCTATAATATTTTTGTATAATTTAAACAGGCATAGGACTTCATAAACAGGACACACACTTATACAAAATATTAAATAAATTTATCCATCGTCAACACCGTCCAAACTAGTTAGGTTCATCCGAATGAAGAGGACGGACACAGTGGCTCAGATACAACATGGGATGACAGACTCATTTCAAGTAACACAATAATTAAAACAGAGTTACATGCTGATACTAACACTGTTTAATTTAGCACTGAAACTGGAAGCCGTATTTAGAAACACATGAGAAGGTAGAAACAACATACTTATCAATAAATCAGTCCAACTGGCACCATATGTAGATGGCATAAATATCGTTAACACGAAAATGCGTATACGAAACTTAAATTACATGCTTAACAAATAGATCTGTCAATAAACATAAAAAAGACTAAACTCCTAGTACAAAACCAATCGGAGACAAGGACACGACCCTACCTGACATTTGACATTTGAAAAAGTAGATATTTACGAATCGATTTAGGAATCGAACAATCATGATGCAGAACTTAGCAAAAGCTCTGCATCATGATTATTACTGCTCCGAGCTTTCGATATACTCTCTGATGTCTTCTTCAGGGCCTCCGAAGTCTTAGTCTCCCGCAATCGACGCGCTTCGAAGCTTGTTGAGTTTAATATTAATTTTTGTAATAGTAATAATCTTATCTTTAGGTTTAAATATATATACAGGGTGGTCCTTAAGTAATTGTTCAAAAAGAAACAGTGGATTCATCACTTTAAAATATTACGATTTAAGCTAACTTGCTTAAATAAAATGTTGATATTTAGAAAGATACAGGGTGTTAAAGTAGAAATTTAAAATTTTATTTTTCACTATAACTTTTACGTTTGTAAATATTTATGAATAAAAATTTACAATTGGATTCTTTTTAATACACGAATTATAATTTGATGTACTCTTTGATGTAGGTGATAGGGGGCCTCACATATGCCATATATGCGGTATAAATTTGCACCTAACTTTTTTACTCTTTGAGTTGGCGCTACTTTTGAAAAAAAATATATTAGAGATACAATATTTTAACAAAAAAGGTATTCTTCTTAATAACTTCAAAACTCAACAGTTTTCGAGAGAATCACATTTCATAAATCAGCTGCATGATGATTCTTAAATGTGATACTTTTTACGGTAATGCACTGAATACCTGTGAATAAGCATAATTAATAGTTTATTTGTATAAAAACAACTTAAAAAGGTTAATGTAATATCATAAAATGCTGTTTTATGGCTGCTTAATGTCTTCGTAGCGAAGCTTAGAGGCATCTATAAAGAAGCTGGAGGCTTTTGAGATGTGGTACTGCAAACGAAAGCTATTTTCGCACAACGAGAAGTGCTTATATTGATCAAAAATATGAAAATTAGAGACATATTATGAGAAATAAAGAGAGGCATGGTTTACTTAAGTTGTTTCAAGCAACTGTAAACAAAGTCAAAATGTACATGATAATTGCTAACAAACGCAACTAGCGGGATATATACAGGTGGAACACTGCTTATGGTGAAACACCATAAGCATCTAAGTATTATAAGCAAACAGTATCAAGATAATTTGAAAACGAACAAATAAAGCACGGGACGGAAATCACGGAAAAAAGAATTTACATATTTATGAATATCCATTAGTTTGGAACCAGTTAGTACGTAGCCTTACTAGTTAACTAATAAAGTGTCTTTAGTCAGTAAGAATGGTACTAATACAAAACAACGCAACCATGGTGTATTGAATAAATACGAACTGAAGATCACACAAAAGTAATTACCAAAAATAATGTTACTCACTTTACAAGATCCATTTATAAACAGTATTTTTTAGCTACCCTAATGTTATGCACCAGTTAACAATCGATTGTTATGCAATAGAATTAGGTGCAATAACAAACAGGTGGTAAGTGTACCCTAGCAACCAGTATAATGTATACAAACTACTGTCAAAACATATTTGAGGAAAAATATCGGTCGTCAAGTATTATATTATAAAACATACAATATTGGTGGATATTATAGTAAAATATACCTCACCACTTATTACTTCTTAGCATTATTTTCTAAAAACTATTTGTTAACGACTATTTTGTAATATAAAAACATAATTATCACAAAATAGTTTAAAAAGATTCTGCAGTATTGCTAAAGCAATGTGTTTGACAAAACCAAGGGCTCGAAATATCCATTCAAATATTTCAAACGAAGTAAAATTACAAAGTAAGCATAGTAAGTATAATCTTATTATATTGTAATAGATATATTGAAAGTTTTATAGCGAATGCTGTCGTCTTCCATTGTCCAAAGGTCAGTTTCATACTTTTCACTTTTTACCTCACTGGAACATACATTTGGAAATCATGACATATAAATATAAATGTTACAGTTTGAATGTTTTCCGAGAGCCTTATATTTGTTCATATTTATAACTAAAAATTATATATGCGCATTAATATTCCTGCTTTTATTTACGAGACTGTTCGCTGTTTTATTTTTTTATTTATACAAATCTTTCTTCTTTTTTATATTCTATCTACTATTCAATCACAGAATACACCACCCAACAAGAAGCGAAAGCTTTGACAGTACCTTTGATGTTCGTAGGACAGAAGTTTCGAAGGGAGAATGACAGTTGCACTATTTAGTACTCTAAGAAAAGTAATGAGGAGATCGTTCAAAACAGTAATAAAGTTATAGCTATACTGAGAAACAAAGTAATTATTAAAACTAATGTTTTTTAAGCAAAACTGTTTTGTATGAATTGTATTTTTTTTCTGTAAAATTTAATATAACTTATACAAAGTGGCCCAAAAGTCTGGAAACGGCCAATTATCTCGTAAACTACCAGACATAATTATACAAAATTTGAGGTACACCTATTTTGGGATACAGAGATTCCATATTTGATATTTGCAATGTTGCCAGATTTGTCGTTTCTTTTATATTATTAGTAACTTTGGTTTTTTAAATTTATCACCCTGTATATTCACTCATTATTGGAATCTCCTATTCAATACGAGTTCAACCATATGAAACACTTATGATATTATGTAGTCTTGAAGGTCTTTTTCTTCTTCTGGTTCATATCCGTTTCGGATGTTGGAAATCATATTGGCAATCATAACCTTGCTCTCTGCGGCTCGAAACAGCTCCGTTGAGGTTTTCTTAAACCATGTTCTTAAATTCCGCAGCCATGATATTCTTCTTCAACCGGGTCCTCGCTTACCTTTGACTCTACCTTGCAATATAGACTGCAGCAGGGAGTAACGGTGCTGATTTCTCATAACGTGTCCCAGATATTGCAATTTTATGCGTTTGATCGTAAACACAATCTCTGGTTCCTTCTTCATTTTTCCTAGAACTTCCTTGTTCGTGATCCTTGCTGTCCATATTCCATGTCCGTATCCCATATTCTTAGCATTCTTCTATAAAGCCACATCTCAAATGCTTCAAGTTTTTGAAAAGTGGTGTCTGTAAGCGTCCATGCCTCCGCCCCGTACAACAACACAGAGAAAACATAGCATCTCAAATGTCTCATTTTTGTATCTAGGGATATGTTGTGACTTTTGAAGATGGCGCTCATTTTGTTAAAGACCGTTCTTGCCTTTCCTATGCGGCACTTTATTTCCTGTACATTGATCCACTGTTCGTTTATAATAGTTCCCAGGTAGCAATACTGTTTTACTCGCTCTATCTGCGTTCCATTAATGTATAGATGAGCCCTGTTTATATTCTCCTTGCTGATAATCATTTGTTTCGTTTTGTGGTTATTAACGTTTAGTCCGTACTGTTGACTGTACTCGTTTATTCTGTCCATTAGCCTCTGAAGTCCCTCTAAACTATCTACTATCACCATGGTGTCGTCGGCATATCTAACATTGTTTACTCTTTCACCATTTAGAAGGATGCCTTCGTCTATTCCGTAAAGAGCCTCGTTAAAATATCAACGGCGATAGGATACATCCCGGTCTAACTCCACGTAGTATTTTTATGTGATCTGTTTCTTCTCCGTTAATTTTCATGTATGCGGTCTGATTCTAGTAGAGTTCTAAAATTATTGTGAGGTCTTTGTCATCCAGGTCTGCCTCTTTTAAAATGTTTATCATCTTTTGATGTTGAACTCTGTCAAATGCCTTTTCATAGTCGATCAAGCACGCGTATACGTCGCAGTTAACGTCCCTGCATCTTTGAATCAGTACCTGTACTCCGAAAAGTGCCTCTCTGGTACCCACTGCCTTAATGAAGCCGAACTGTCTGTCCGATATTTGTTCCTCGCACTTCTTATAAATTCTTCGATGGATGACTCTAAGAAACAGTTTCAACATGCGGTTCATTAGACTGATTGTTCGATATTCTTCGCACTTTTTAGCCCCCTGTTTTTTAGGTATCGCTATGAATTCTGATTCTAGCCATTTATTAGGGATGATTCCTGTATTGTATATTTTATTGAAGACAGCCGTGATCCAATTTATTCCTTCTTCTTTCAAGAGTTCTAAAAATTCAGCTTCGTTATTATCAGGCCCTACAGCTTTCCTGCTTTTCATCCTTTTTATTGCTTTTTCTACCTCGGATTTAAGTATGTCCGGACTCGTCATCCTCTCTGAAAATGGATGCCTATAATCCGTTCTTTGATCTTGAAAAAGTGTCTCCAAATATATTCTCTATTTGTCTTTCATCTCTTGGGTGTCAATGATTAATTTTCCATTGGTGTCTATGAGTTTTATTTGTGTTCGCTTTTTAAAAGTACCCGTTATTTCTTTTACCTTTTTGTGTACATTAAAATTGCCATGCTTGGCATGTAGTCTTTCTATTTCTCTTCATTTCTCTACAGCTTCTTTTTCTTTAGCTTCTCATATTTTTCTTGTGATGTAAGCCTGCATTTTTTTATACTCATATTTATTTCCTATAATTAACCTTCTGCGTTCCATTAAGTGAAGGATTTCTGGAGTCATCCAAGATTTCTTCTTTGTTTCTTTGTTTGGTTTTAGTAGATCTTGGTTAGTTTTCTTAAATATTTCTTCGAATTGATTGATTTCTCGTTGGATGTTATTTTCTTCTTTTAGTTGTTTAATTTGGTTGTTAATATATTAACCCACTTGCTTTTTAACTTCCGTTTGTTGCAGGGCTGTCATGTCGTAGTTAGGTCTGGACTTTTTCTTTATTGTTTTCAGTATCACATCCATGGCTCCCACTAAAGGTATGTGGTCTGATTCAATGTCCTCTCCTGGATATGTTTTGACAGATTTAAAACTATTTCTGAATCTTCTATTTACCAATATATAATCTTAGACATATCAATATATCAATATATTAATCAAGACCTTGAAGGTCTTAAATACATAAAACAGAAGTCTGGCAACGCCTAATTGTCTCAATAAGATTTTTAGTACTAACTATTTTTAACTACATTAAAACGTAACATTTGATAGATTACAACATTTTTTAACACAATAATTACTTTATCAAGTGTTCAAAATGTGCTCCATTTGTGAGTTGATAGTACCCTAATCGATCGTAGAATGCGTCTACCACATTTTTCCATGATTGTCTAAAATTTATTCGAGATTCATTGATTTTTCGTTGCCTTAGTCCTGCAAGACTTGCTGGTTTAGTTTTGTAAACTGAATTTTTCAGTTCAGTTCAGTTTTTCAGTATCCGAATAAAAATAATCCTTAGGATTGAAATCAGGTGAACGTGGAGACCATTCAATTCTACCTCATCTACCGATCCATCGTTCTGGAAATATTTTTTTTAAATAACCCCGAACATTTACCCCAAAATGAGTTGGAGGTCCATCTTGCCCATATCTAATTAAAATTGGCACCAAACACGGTAACAATAAAGCTGAACAGAACACTGTCAAAACTCCTAACCTCAAACAACAGAGCATCAGGGGTTAGGCAAATGCTGCTCTGAGATTGCCTGGTTGTGACTGAACCTTTTCTGATCAATCACTTATGGTGGACAAAAGTTGTTTTGTTCCGCTACCGATATTTCATTTCATATGTGAAAAACCATATAACAAAATTTATTTTAATCAAACTTTTATCCACTAACATGTGGGGTTCAAAATGAACTTTAAAATGACACCAAAATCTTAACAAATGATTTATTGTGACAAATCCTTTTTTGGACGTCACCTCCCCAAGTATAAAATTGTCCAAGTGTGTTTTAGGGGTCATTTTTTCGATTTTGCCGGGTGTTTACTGAAAGATTGTATACTGTTTTAAAGCTTCCAATAATTAAATATCGTCGTTTGATTGTTTCTCACATCAGAGGTGATAAAGCATTTGTTTATTACGGTTTGCTAGAATTTGTTTGAAATTATACGCAAGACTACCATGAAGAAATTACTTCTATTTTCAAATTATTGTTTTCAATATTAGTATTTCGATTATTTTCGTGACTTGATAGATTTCCTATCGATCAATTCTGTCGTAGTTATAAAAAATGATAGGCACCATTACCTAACAGTGACTGGAAAAATAAAGAGCTTTTAAATTGGTTAATAAGTAAAACAATTAAGGTAAAGAAGGAATAGTCAAAAAAAAGCTTTCACAGTCATGTAAATTACATTCACCAAAATTTAAAAAGTAGATCTAGTATGAAGCATAAAAACTGTGCTATCATGTAATTCGCATTTTATTTTCGTTAATTATTGTTTTTTTTTCAGACAGAAAAATATGCTCAAATCTTACCCTGCAGATGTCTTTATATTTTAATTCAGTTTTTTTGCCCGTTTGGTCAATTGTCATTATTCTTTTTATGAATAAAAACGTAAGTACATATTTGTAAAAGATCTTTATAAGAGTTTATACTATATATATTTTAGTACCAGTCTTACGATGAATTGTATAGATATATATCGGTTACTGTTGTTAGCACCATATTTGGCGTGGAATTCTTAAGGATTTATTTGGGATATGAAGGCAATCTTAAGGATAAAGTAAGTAATTAGTTCTTTAGCAATTTTTCATCTGTTCTTTTAATAGAGGAAAGTCGCCTAATATTGGATCGTTGCCTAATATTGAATACTGCGTTATCTCAAAACCTATTAACAGTTTTCTGTAATTAAATGCACAAAACTAAAGGTTTTTAACATAAAATGGTTCTGTGTAAACCATATTTTTATTATTTTACACTACTAGATGGAACCATATAATATGTTTTTTCGTGATACGAATTGTTGCTTATGTAACTGAAAATTGTTATAAAAAGGTAAGTATTGACAGTATTAAAGTGAAATTTGGCAGTTATATTCTTAAATAGTTGTAGAATAAGCTTCAATATTAATTTTTTATTCATAAAGGTTGCCCAATTTTGCATAGAAAAGGTATCTTAAAATTTGATATACAAAATTAGGAACCTAATTATATGTAATTCAAAACATGTTTTTCTACACTTTTTTTCAGTAAAATGCCTACAAAACGACTACCAGATAAAAAATGGAATCCAGAAGATATAAAAAATGCTATTGATGTTGTTAAAAGTAAATAAATGGGATACTTAAAGGCTTCAACGTTCCCAAATCAACCATCGAGCTATATGTCAAACGTGGCAAAGACTCAAAAAAGAACAATGCGCGCTACGAATGGACCGAAAACCAGTTTTATCAGCAGAAATGAAAGAAGACTTGGTACAGAAGATATTATGGTCTAGTACTTGCAGACGTTTGGAGATTAGCATACCAGCTTGCTATCAGAAATAACCTTTCCCATACCTTTTCAGAAAGAGATGGTAATTCCGGTTAAAAGTGGCTCAGACAGCAAATCAATCTATCTGTAAGGAAACCACAGGGGATTTCAAAAAACCAAATAAAAGGTTTTACCCCAGAAAATATCAACCGTTTTTTTGATATTCTGGAGAAGATAACCAGCTATGGAGAAGATAAATTTTAACCCTCTAAGAGTGTATAATGTTGATAAAACAGGTATCACTACTGTACAATCCCAGATTGCTACAATCTTGTAGTAATCCAAGATAGCTACAATCAAGTAGACTTACTTGTAGAAAAAAACAAGTAGGAGCTGTAACTGCTGCAGAAAGAGGGGCACTAGTAACTGTAGTTACGTGCATGAATGCTGCCGGAGGATTGATTCATCCGTTAATTGTATTCCTACGCAGAAATATGAAGGCCGTGCTATGACGAAGCTCCAGCTGGGCCAATTGCTAATTGTCACCCTTAAGGATGGATACAGAGCCACATCATCACGCGATGGATGCAACATTTTATCAATTCTTCAAATATCAATCCTTTAATAAAACCTTCAAAAGACGATCCCGATGTTACTCATTCTTGACCGCCATTATAGTCATACACGAAATCTGGACGTTATAGACATAGCGAGAAAAAATTATATTTCTATTGTATGCATCTACCCCATACGTCACATAAAATCCAACCATTAGATTTGTGTTTTGTCTTCATTAAAGATATACTATTCAAGACAAATCGAAATTTGGTTTAAGAATAATCCTTCTCGAAATTTAGAACCTTTCAGATGAATTCATTATTCTGCCCTGCTTATCAGAAATCTGCTACTGCTGAGATATCAGCCAATGGGTTTTGTAAAACAGAAAATTTTTTATTCAATCGGAATATCTTTTCATAAGCAGATTTTATTTTAGAAAAAAAAAGAGAAAGAACTCCGCCTCGACAACATACTTCTTAAGAAGTATGTTTGATAAGACTTTGTAATTAGAACTTAATCACACCAGTAGCTCAATTCAACTGTATATTGAAAAAACACCCCGTGACATTAAATGGGTAGCAGTGTGGAAATTAATCAGTTATCGAACATTTTAAAAGCTTAAGACTTTTCACCTTTACCATCCTGCAGTTCATCGACACCTACATCACATAGGAGACGTAAAACAGGTTCTGCGGCTTTAATTACACGTACGCCCTACTAAAATGATTTAGAAGCTAGCATTAAAGAAAAACAAAGAAAATAATCACTTATAAATAAAGAACAGTTGCCAAAATTTAAGGTTTTAAAGAAAACTAAAAAGAAGACAATTCTAATATGGATACCGATGAAGAAAGTGACGCAGTGTGTATTTTCTACACTGAATATTATTCAAAGAACCCATATAGAGAAAAGTTGATACAGTGTTCAAGTTGCTTCAGATGGTCACATGAAGAGTGTTTTAGGAGCCTTTTTTCTATTTGGAAAAAGTGTCATTTTTTACTTTTGCCTAACATTTACATTGTTTAATAATAGAGAGTTTTTAAGCCCCTTATTTCAGTAACGTTAAACGTTATACGTTATTCTGCTCATGCGCATTAACAGAAAAATAACGGATTACTTTATTAGAGGATAAGGTATTCCCTTATTTAGGTAAAGATAAGGTTAACGTTATTAAGGGATTACGTGTTTGTAATGTTGTCAAATGCCAGATATATAAATCATAAAAAACAAAAAAAGAGTCATATGAGCAGCTCTCTTTCCTTGTCTAAGAGCAGAACCAAAGATAACTATGATAGAATAAAAAAAATGGAAAATTTAGTTCAGCATCTTTCTCTTCAATTGTTTCCAACACAAAATGTAGTCTTGATGCAACAGGTATTACAGGATCAAAAATATTGTGAAGAATTAAGCCTCTTATCAAATTGTAATCTATTACTTCTCTCTGTCTTCGTCATCTATTTTCTTAGATTATAGCAAATTATTCAAATAAAATAGGTTATAGAGTATTCACGATTGAAAACAAAGTATCTGACCCTTGGCGGAATAAATTTAAACTACTATAAATGGTATAAACAAACCAGACAGCTGTTGATTTGAATAGAATTATTAAATTTTTTTAGTAAATTTCAACATTATGACTAAATGACAAAAGTCAATAACCCTGCTATGACACAAATTGGAATGGACAGAATCCAAAGAAGAAATATACAGATATTTACATCACAATATTTTAAACTGTATTTAACATTGTTGTAGGGAGAAATGTTGGAAAATTGTAGTAAAAATCATCCAAGTACATCAGCAATGTATTCCAGTATATATTTTTGTCCAGATTTATCTGAAATTAAACCATTTGGTTGTCTGATGAATGATTGTATTGGTCACTATATTTTGTAAATAAAAGATTTATTTTGTTTCAATAATCTATTATTAATAAAAAAACTACCTTGTGAATGCCTTCGTTTTTATTTAGGTAAAACATAAAGATCATTAAATGTTAAAATAAGTGAACAACAAATGTATAATATTAAAAAGTCAGTTCCAAACACTAAAGTTAAAATTTAAGAATTCATCACTTGAAAACTGCTTCCCCTTCAACCAATGGCCTCTGCTTCACCACCACAAGGCTAATTTCCTTTTTTAAATGATAAAAATAACTCGTCTTAAACCAAACTAAACTTTGAAAAGCAATGGTAAACATTCGACTGTCATGTTTGTTTATACCATTTATATCGACCTATAACTGCCGTTTTATAGGTTACGTTCGTCAAATGTCAATTAACGATAATCTGTCATAGCTTAATTTCCGAAAGGATTCAAAAACTATTTTATCCCTTATTTATTATTCAAGGCGCATGACAAGTATAACGTTTTACGTTTAACGTCCATCGAAAAGTAAAGGGCCTAAAAACTTTCTAATGAAATAAATATTTTAGTATGCATACGTTATTTTTATTGATGTTATAGCACATTTTACGCACAAAAAAAAATTTCTAAAATATTTTTTTGACCCAAAAAATTTAATTAAAAAAATTTATCCAACATTAGGCGCCTTTTCTTTTTTTTATGCTTATTACTTTTATTCCAAGTTATTCCTGGATATAAGAACTGCTAAATTTTCATCGAATCAACATCTTCCAGTAACGATTTATCAGTTTGTAAAAATACAACCGTGGCGTGGTAAGCATAAAACAGTGCAATTTATGTTGATGGCCATGTACGAAATCAATTTTATTGATATTGTTTTATATTCTTTGAAATGTGTTAATGCTATCAACAAAAATAATTTTTATGGATCAGCTAAGTTACAAAGCGACAAGGTCAAGTAAAAGAAGACCCCCTAATAATATTAGCATACAATTGATATACTTGAGTTTTCGTAAATCCATTACATGTGAACTATGCAAACACACTTATAACATTTAGACGTAGAGGCAGACCATACCCCTAATACGAAAACTTCGTGGATTTCTGTAAATTAAAATAGTAAATGTTAAAAACCGAGAACCCTATAAAAATTGCTATGAGATTACAACGAAAATTCACAGATTATGCATTGCAAGAAATCTGGAAAAGATTTGAACAAACTTTAAAGGAAGTAAAGGAAAATCTCAATGTGCTCATATTTTAACAAAATTCATAGACACGGTGCGTAGACGGCAATTAATGTGTTCAAGACATTAGAAACCATAAAATTATCAATCAAATGCGATCCATATACAGGGTGTCCCATAATTAATTGGACATTGGCTAATGGGTGATAGGTGGTGAGAGCTGACATCAAAATAAAGCGTTTGACTCAAATTTCTGAGTCAAAATGTTGCTAGTTTTCATTCTACAGGGTGATTATTAATATTTTTTTATATTATTTTTAGGGATATATTGAAAACTATTCAATCGATTTAAGTGAAATTTGGTATCTTGTTATTATTTAGTATGCTTAATATTAAAATTACATTAGTTTTACCATTGAAACTAGGTGGCGCCACTTACTATAACATTGGTTCATTAATGGGGCCATAATTTTTTTGTCCGTCCTGTATAAACATTCTAGGAAAAAAAACATGAAATAACATTCAATTGTATTCAAAAAAGGTATTCTTGTTCCAAATAAAAAAAGTACACTGTTTTCGTAATAAACGTATTTTGTTAATGATGCGCATGTTCACAAAACAAGTAGGTATATGTTTAGGATTAAACTTGAGAGGTCGCTGGTTAAATTATATCAGATAAATAATTATAACGAAAAATGCAA